GTTTAGGGCTTAAGGTTAAGGGTTTATGTGCTTCAACCATGAAAGGCTTCACACACCAATGCCTGGACCCAGCCCAAACACACGATCCATGCACCCAAATTACAAACAGCACATACTTTGGCCCCAAAGCACTTACATAGGGACATATTATAGGCCCTGTAAAATCCCTCAATAACATTACAGTGAACTCCAGAAAGTTGGAACATGGATTTAGGATGATTAGTGCTAAGGGCAGGAGAGGCGGCAAGTCCGTGAGGATCTAGGCTTGTCGTGGGTGGATCTGAGCTACGTTGGCCTTTGTATTACGCTTTAGGGAGGTATCCCCCGTACCAGTATTTGGGACCCTTTCCTTTGGGATAACCTCACCAGGACCACGCAAACAAGTCCAATGTCCCTCCGGACACAGCACGTTTTAAAATTTACATCTCCCTACACGCCAAACCCTAAAACTATATCCCTCAAAACTCTGATGCAGGCCGAAAGATTCACGCTACCTGGACCCCAAAAGTATGTAAAATAGTAGCCCTTTATAGGATTTGGACGATTATTTTACCTACTTTTGGGGGTTTAGGTAGGCTCAGTTGAGATCCAAACCTCGGCGAGCCAGGACCAAGCTGCCTCGCTCCTAGCAGTAGACGGGGTTGTGTTTCGTCCGCGTTGTTTCGACCCATAGGCCTCATAGTAGTTCCTTTTTGGGGTTCATATATTACAGTAGAATCCTATAAGGTAATCCCAAAAAGGAACTACTATGGGGCCCATGGGTAGCGTGTTTTAGAGTCTCAAAGACAAGAGTTGTACAAACGTCTGTGCAAGTCCGGGAGTTCGCACACCAACAGCCTATAGGAAGGAGGCTCCAACCCCATGCAAGGTGATGGAAGACTACCAGGTCCCATCTAAGCAGTGTCTGCAAGCACTCCAGCAAGGCTCTCATGTACCTGTATAGCAGAATGTAGGGGTTTCTACATTAAGAGCTACTATTATGATTTAGGGAAGTATCCCCCATAACAGTACAGAGGACCCTTTGGGCAGAAAACATCCAAGCTCTGCGATCCCTGCAGGCTGCCGATCTCACTCCGACTCTTTGCTTAATGTAGGGGACTAGGGTTTAGGGTTTAGGGTTTAGGGACAATAACCAATACTGTTTTGGGGGCTTCTTATTGTCATTATAGTAGAATGGGCTCCAAAAACCCTATACTAATTATTATCATTATTAGTATCAAGGCCCCTATATTAAGCCACAGCCTTCACTCGAAGACCCCGACTCCCGAAGTGTAATATAGGGACCTTAATACTAAAAATACGGTCCCATTATACTGTAATTCTATTAAGGAGCCCCCAAAATAGTATAGGTAATTATTTAGGCGACTATATTCATTCTGATAGTCTCAGCTTCAAACACGAAACACACGTCCAGAGCACCATCATCAACCCTAAACCCTAAAACCTAAACCCTGAACCCTAAACCCTGAACCCTGAACCCTAAACCCTAAACCCTACACCCAAACCCCTAATCCCTAAACCCCAAGGTGTCCACAACGCGGCCGAAGAGAGGGGCCCCGGACCTCGGAGAAGGCTAGGGTTTAGGGTTTAGGGTTTAGGGTTTAGGGTTTAGGGTTTAGGGTTTAGGGTTTAGGGTTTAGGGTTTAGGGTTTAGGGTGTTGGAGACAACGGGCTCCAATGCTTGAAGGCTACGACTACGAGGGCTACGATGCTGGAGGCCCTGGAAGAAATGTTTAGGGTTTAGGGTTTATTTAGGGTTGGGGGTTTAGGGTTTAGAGTTTAGGGCTTTAGGGTTTTAGGGTTTAGGGTTTATTTAGGGTTGGGGGTTTAGGGCCGATAAAAAACAACATGGTGTTTTATTCGACAAGTAAAGTATCTGTATGTATATATATATATATATGTTATGTGAAATCTTTCGTCCTCAATGCTTGGCCCTAATATACCTTGAAGCCCAGTACTCCTAAGTATATATAAGGAGGGGCTTCAACAATTAGAATTCTAATAAATTTGGTGGCATTCTATGCACAAGGACACTTATGTTCGGACTATGTGCCGTTACGAATTCATCACTCTGCCCGACTTGTGAAACCATGAGTGTCCCCGACCGTCTAAACAGCACAAAGATGTCACTGCCCCTGCCACTGCTACTGCGGTGATCCTGTTACAACGAATGCCACGCAGAACAAGCACGACGAGAGGAATATGGGGCTTTGCGGTTGGTATAGTGACACGTTCAACATGAGCCGTCACCAACAATAATCATACTAGACATTACACCACCGCCGCCACCACCACCACCGCCACCACCGCCACCACCGCCGCCGCCGCCACCACCGCCGCCACCACCACCACCACCGCCACCGCCACCACCGCCATTGCCACCGCCACCCCCATGCACCGCAACCGCCACCACCACCGCCACCGCCGCCATCGCCACCGCCACCACCACTACCGCCACCACCGCGACTACTGCGGACTACCGCTGCAAACAACATCAGCAGCCATGCGATGAGGTGTATCCAAAAATCTCCATGAATAATATTGTCAATACCGCGAGCACTGATGCTCAGGGGCCCCGCCGTCGTTCGGCGCTGGGGCATGGCGGGAGGAGGTGAGAAAACCCAAAGCCAAGCGCCTGTCGGCGGTCGGCAGGTAACGATTCCAGGTTCCCAGACCTTCCAAGATCCTCTGATAAAGGCAATTTAAGGAATATAGTAGGATCCCTAAAATGATATATGTTATATATAACATATGTCATTTGAGGGATCCTACTAAAACTTAAAGTATGTTCCATGATAATTAAGGAGGTCTAAGGATGTCGGAAGGTCTGGGTTTGATCGGTGAGTTCGCAGCCGTTCAAAATTTTCTCTGCCGACGAAACTAATCAGTGCCGTTGTTCTGGCCTTTGTTTGGAGGAATATCGTCTTCTATGGTATTAATGGGAGCTAGGAGTAGGGGGACCCTTGGGGATATAGACCCTCTCAATAAGGTCCCTTTTAAGAGAGCCAAAAGTAGGGTTCAGAAGGGGTACCCTTTAAGGGGATTAAGGGGTACCCCTAATAATACGACCCAATGAAATCCCAAGGCCCTACAAAGCTGAGGTTGTTGTCGCTTGAGAACTCGACTGGCAGATGACCAACGGCCCCTGTAGATTTTTGAACTATCTGAAGTATCTACAATTGGCCAGCCGAATCTTCAGCCACAACTCAAACCACCCTAAACCTTCGAATCCACAAAATCCGAACCTCAGTGCCGACAATAATCCGAAACTCACAAATGCCAAGTCCTAGACGAACCACTCGCGCATCTGGCCTCTGCGTATATTGACGCTCCGTAAGCATGCGCTGTGAGCTAGCATCGTACCCTGTCCTGACCTCTGCTTATTTGTTTATGCTAGCGTACGTTTCAGTATGCGGTGACTATTATACATGCACCCTATGTTGCGGAACTTGGTATTCTTGCCAGTCACTAGATGAAAATCCATAGTGGGGTGTACTTATATCGAATATCAAAGAAAAAGGGCAAGGAAGTGCTCCAAGCGCCAGGAGATGGCTGCCTGCTTACAATTAGGAGTAGGGTAAGAGAGATAAAACTGAAGGTAGAGCTCTCCAAACCCAAAGACCCCAAATCCGCAGCCCCCGAACCCCAACCCTAAACCCGTAAACCCCTGAATCCCTAACCCCTCAACCCTAAACCCCTAAACATCTATACCCCTAAACCCTCAACCCTAGACCTCAACCCTGGATGCGGCCTCGACCCTAAATCGTAACCACCACTTACTCGAACAAAAACTCGAGGCACCTGCAGTGCGCAGGCGCCGGTGGGATACCTGTGCAAGTCCGAAGCATGCAGTACTTGTGTAGGGTTTAGGGTTTAGGGTTTAGGGTCTAGGGTTTAGGGTTTAGGGCCAAGTACCTAAGAATCCTATACTCTCCCAAATAGTAACCTACATAACTACTATCCGAAACCTAAATACCTGATTGTTGGGTCCTTTGGACCCCTGGGGTTGTGTATAGGCTGTAGAGGGCCTATTAGAAAAAGGGGGCTCTCCAAAGCTTCCACATGGGGTGCGGGTGTAGGGTTTGATATGGCGGGTTTCACCATCATAAATGGGTTCGGGGATATGTTGGAGTACAACCATATAGGGCACTATATGGGTATGCATTCTTAGGAGTGAGTTATTCCGACCCGACGAGTCTGGGATTTGAGTTTACTGTCGCTGCTTCTGCACTTATCTCACATGTTGCTTAGCCGCGACTAGGCTTTGAGCTGCGATGCATGGGTTGATGTTAGTCTGGGCTTGCTTGGGCAGGGGTTCCACAGGGTGAAGGGGGCTTGAGCGCGACTATGAACGGGCCTTATCAGGAGGTGTGTGGGTTGCTTATGACCTGGCACCTGTATACCATAATGCCACCCAACGATGATCATCAACCCCTGCTCTCCAAGCCCCGCTCTCGAAGCCACACACCCGACTCCGCAAACCCCCAAACCCTGAACATTGGATGTCATTGCCATCCACCAGACGGGGCTGACAGGCACTATGCTGAACAAAGGGATGCCCCTGAATGCATGCATGTTGCGAAGGAGAGCTGCGGCAGGGATAAAGATGAGTATGATGATGCTGATGATGGTGATGACGATGATGACGACGATGATGATGATGTTGATGATGGCGATGATGCCGACGATGATGCTGTTGATGATGATGGTCGTGGCGGTGGAGATGACTGTGGGGGTGATGACGAGG